GGGGGGGCCCGGGGGAGGAGGGGCTGCGGGAGATGAACAAGAAGCTGCAGAACCTTCTGGAAGAGCAGCTCACCAAGAACCTGCACCTGGCGCAGGTGAGGGGGCGGGGCTTCACCTGGGGGAGGGGCTTCACCTGGGGGAGGGGCTTCACCTGGGGGTGGTGCTTTGCCTGGGGGTGGGGCTTCACCTGGAGTGGGGCACTGGGAGGCACTGGGGGGGTCAGTGGGAGCACTGGGAGGTCACCAGAGGGTCATTGGGGTCACTGGGTGTTACTGGGAGCACTGGGGGGGTTACTGGGATGACTGGGGGGGTCACTGGGGGTGTTTTGGGGGAGCTGGGGGGCGGGGCTTGGGGGGGTAGGTGAGGGACCTGAGGTGGGATTTGGGTGGGGAAGGAGGGGCCGGGAAAGGGGGTGGGGTCAGTGGGCGTGGTCGGTGTGGGGGCGTGGCCTCTGACCCCCTCATTCCCTCCTCCCCAGGACCTGGAATCGCTGTCCCAGGAACTGGCCCAGCTCAGGAAGGACCAAACAGCCCCCCCCGGACCCCCCTGAGGGGCGAGGCCACCTCTGCCGGTGGGCGGGGCCTCTCCCCATCGCCCCGCCCCCTCCCGCTGCAAGCTCCACCCCCCGGTGGGGGGGGTCTGCTTCGGGGGAGACATTGCCCCTTTAAGAACGGGGGGGTGGTCCCTACTTGGCGTTACCCCTTTGAGGCCTGGGCAGATCCCCCAGGAGGGCGTTGCCCCTTTAAGACGGGTTTAAATCCCCCCTTTGGGCGTTGCCCCTTTAAGGAGGTCGCGGTCCCCACTCCGCCGTTGCCCCTTTAAGACCGGGGGTGGGCTCCCCCCAGGACGCCGTTGCCCATTTAAGAACGGGTTTGACACCACCTTTGGGCGTCGCCCCTTTAAGACGAAGGTGGGGCCCTCCCCAGACTCCGTTTCCCCTTTAAGACGGGTTTGAAACCCCCCCCCTCGGGCGTTGCCCCTTTAAGGCGGTCGCGGTAGTCCCCCCTCCCTTTGTGCCGTTGCCCCTTTAAGAGGGGGAGGGTCCCGCATGCGGCCCCCCCCTCAATAAACAACCCCCAACCGCCAGCGGTGACGTCATTGTGTGAGGAGGGAGGGGCGTGGTCTTGGCGGTGACGTCACTTCCCCGCGGTGCCCCGGATGTTGTTTGAGGGCAGCGGCCGCCGGGACGGGGCTCGTTCGGCGCTTCCGCGGCCGCTCCGGATCCTGCCCAGCCCCGCGGGGGGGGGGGCGCGGCGTGACGCCAGCACGGTGACGTAACACCGGGGGGGAGGCGGAAAAACGCCTCAAAATCCCCCCCAACCTTCCCCCCC